ATTTGGAAACGCGCGTATTAGATTTCCCTTCCTTTTTGTCTCTCATTAATTCACTGTGCTCTTCTTGTCCAAGTCAACAAATAGAAAAACTATTCGATTTGTTTGTACGTTTACTTTTCTTCAAGAAGAGAATAAAGAAATCCCTTTCCAATATACCATTTGTTTAATCCAACTTATACACAGATTTTAATTTGAAATTTGCATGTCATTCTTTTTTACATTCACTATTGGATTGTTAAGCAACCAATCACATGTTAATTTGAAGCTAGAACCATGTGAACATCTTAATTATCGTTGTGACTCTATAGTCTATAAATCATCAATCAATAACGAATTAACATTTTGCCCTAGTATTGAACTATTTAGTAACGTAATTCGATCCTGATAAATGAGATGATGGATCATGTTTAAGGTCGTTTCGTATAGCCTGTCAGATTTTTAATTAACTTGGGCTTGAGTTTGTCTTGTTATGGGCTAGGCCCATTCAAATAACTTCAACTTCTGGATTTCAATGGAATAGGAACAATAATAACTCAATAAATAACAATTACTTCGACATTTGTTCTATTTTCTAGATTTTTTACATATTTTTCGTTTATTTTTAAGTGTTTTCTGATATGCATTTCCTATTTTTCTTAGTCTGCTTGTTAGGTCTCTTATTATTTATTATTTTTATCATATGTCATTATTTGAATATTAAAGTTTATATTTTTATATCAATTTTATGTCACGATATAAAGAGTGCATTGTACAATTTACCTTGTTTTCGAAACCTATTGTCAAATTCTTTTGATAAGAAAATTGTTCTGAGTGAACCCCAACTAGGATAAAGGCAAATATCTTAAGGGTACAGTTAACGAATAAGGTCTAAGATGTATGGTCTATAGCGTAGGTGACTTGCTAAAAATGCTATCCCCGTGGCATTGATCATCCCTACAGTGGATCCAGGAAAAAATTTCTATGTCCGCACATTTAGTGGCGAGGGTTCGGGGGCAGCGCCCTCGAATTTGTTTTGTAAAAATAATTTAAATTAACGCTTGAACGCGCTCATAATCCAGTTGCTTCCATAACAAAGGATGAATAAATCATAGAAATGAGAAATCATGGGAATGAGTATGTGACAGGGGAGGAAGAATAAGTTTTCTCTCTAATCAATTTGCGTTGCTACGTTATTTTAATCATCTCTATACGTTTCTACGTTGCTAACTAATATAAGAATAAATATCATTTTTGATCCTTAACAAAAAATTCGATCACCACTTTAGTCCATTATAAAAAAAAGAGTCACCCGGTCCCTATGAAATCTAAAGTGGACCTATTTCAGTCTTTTTGAGACTAATGTAGGTCTTTTTTAAATTTGTGAGGGATCACGATTTTAATTAAATTGATCCACTTTGAATTTTTTAGAGACCTTCTCGAGACTAATTTTTGGTAAGAGACTAAAATGGAGACCATATTTTTTGTTAGGGACTTAAAATGATATTTACTCCTATTATAAATATTGAACCAAGAAACAAATAATAACCTACATGATTACAAAAAAAATTAAAATTAAAATTCAAAATCTCATGTCCGCACTTGCAGACATGTGACCCAACCTGGGTCCGCCAGTGCATCCCTATGCTTATATAGCCTTTACCTATAGTAGTTACAGAAAATGTGAGATCCTTAATAGTTATAGAAATCGTGGTTCTATTAAGTAGTTAATATGTGATCATGAATGTGACTGAGTGAAAAGGATTGTGGGTCGAGCTCCTGGCCTAAAGTCCCACAATCCGGACTCATAACCTATGGGGCTTGTTAGAAGTGCTTGTCCGAATAAAAAGATGTTAGAGATTTAACTAAGTCCATATCCTAGCCATATGCATTGGCCTAAAGTATTGAGCTTCAAACCCATTGGACTAACCAGGGTATAAACTCGGAACAAAAATAATTATGAAAAAGCTAATAACATTCAAAGAAGGATAACGTAGAATTTTTAAGGGGCATGTTGTAGATTTTAAAAGGCGTTTGCGTTATAAGTTTTGAAAATAGATTAGCGCTAGAGTTGTGTGAGCTGGACCAAGGCTAAACGGTATCAAACAGTAACACTGCAGGAAACAAAGCTAAGTCTAGCTAACTATAATTTTGTGGATGAATAATTCTACATATGAGTACGAATTAATGAAACTGCATGTGGGTGGCAATTGTAATGTGATGGTCACATAGTGAAAAGTGGGGAAGAACCATGCCATGTGGTAGTGCCTCGGTTCATGTGGTGCCATGCCATGCTCACACTTGGGCTCTTTTTCTAGCACAGCCCATTGATGTTGGATCAAAGCTCGAGCCCCCGATCATATTTGCCTTGGGTCCATTCCCAACACAAAATTTAACCCCAGATAGTAGGTGTGCCTCTATAAGATATATTAAAGTTAGCACATGGATAGGATGAAGTAACATCCACTATGACGGAAGAAACCAGATCAAACTTTTTGAATGGCAAATTGATTGGCTAATTATTAGTTCAAATGTGACAACAACTTTAAAGATAGTATATAGAAAAGATGCTCTTTCAACTTTCCAACAAGTAATATTTGACCCCTAGTTTGTTAACTCCTTTAGAAATTGTTTCTAAATTTGAATCTTAATCTCCTTGGTTTCATATGGTATTGTTTAGCTATCTGGTCCCAGCTCACATGTGGATCTCCGGCTTGATATTGTTCCATCCACACGCACACTCTAGGCTTCGTTTTCCGTGCCATGAAAGTAACGTGCTAGGAATCAACAACAAAAAGAACATCCAAAATAAATTATTTGTAAAGCCTTTTCATAGTTAGTGTTTCTAGGTTGCACGGAGAATTTTTTCTTTTCTTTTCTTTTCTTTAGTACATGGAGATATTCTTTTATATTCCTAGAAATAAAATTTTCTTCTTCCAAGGAGCATAATCACCATTGGATGAACATATGCGACACAGTTTTTGAAAGCACATGCATTTAATGGTAGGATGTCCTCCAAGACCAAGAGTAGATAAGAAATATCAGGAAAGCAAACCAAATGTCTCATCTTCTTTAATTGGAACCCTACAATTGAAGTTATGTGGAATCTTATTGCACTATAAAACCATTTTCTTGTACCCTTACAAGAAAGAAATTTGGTCATACAAAATAATGTAATGGGATAGGATATTCTGACACACAAATAATGTTACGCACAATGTTACGACCACATATTAACCGTTGATTTTCGCCAATCAACGGTTATCATTTTTCAAATCAAACTTATTAATTAATTATTAATTCGCAATAAATGATAACCGTTGATTGGCGGAAATCAACGGTTAAGATGTGGTCGTAACATTGTGCGTAACATTATTTGTGTGTCATAATATCCTATCCCATAATGTAATTATGTATTATGAATAGTATATAATAATAATATTAAAAGTTTTTTTTCTCTCCTTAGAAAGTTGTCAAGTAAAGTGATGGAGAAAGAAAAAATAATTTTAATATTATAACTATGTACTACTCGTAGTATATAGTTACAATTTGTAATATCACCGTATTTTTTTCCTACAACATGATTCTTATATTTTCCTTTATTATATCAGTCCTTAGGGAAAAAATTGAATTATACTTAAATCTTCTTGAAAAGATTCATACTACACACTCTGCTTTCATATGTAGCAGTAAGTTACAATTTGGATACTTTATAATTTATAGGACTTTATTAATCTCATGCAATAGAAAAGAAATTCTCTCATGTTATAGAGTCAATCATCTGTGAAACTCATCCACTTATAGAAGAAAAAATATAACACGAAAATCGATACAATGTGTAGGAGAGAAAAACACTCTCTTACAACATAAGAGTATATTTTTCATAATTTATATTCTCGCCTTTCTTTCTTTAAGGTTTAATTTATTATACTAGTAGTTTAATGAAACACGCCTAGTAGTTACAACTCAATATGTTTTATGCTACTTTCGGAAGTGGTTACATGACGAAATAGGATAGTGCATGAACTGATAAATGAGCAAAAGATTGAAAACCACTCTTTTATGGCGTGCAACATGGACATGCAAAAGGACAAAAAGAGAAAAAGAAAGCCATGGAATATTGCTTTTGCGTATCAGCAACTAGCATTTCTGAATTTTGAAGTTATAACTTTTTCCTATTGCCTTGTTTCTTTAATTTCTTTTTTGCATCTTTGAGTTTGGCTACTCAAATGGGATTAATCTCCTAATACTTGTGACTTAAAATGTCGGCGCCAAGACCTTTATCTTTGACTGCACGGAAACTTGAAGAATAATTAGGTATCATTATATCACTCTTCACAAATCGTTGTGCCTAAACAAAGACATAACTTTAACATTCAATAAATATTATACAGAGGAATCCATCTCAGTTTACAGACTAGGATAATTCACATTAAAAATAAAAATAAAATTACAAAAGATGGGCAATCTATAAAATTATGCTAAGCTATGATGATAGAAGCAAAGTATCATGTAGGTAGCATTACCATTTTTGTGTCCTCACAACATGTGGTTTAGATTAGAACTTTGGATATTTCTTGTATCATTCTTGCTCTGAACACCACATGTGCTGTTTGCACAAAGAAGATGCCATAAATAGGCATCAGAATACTTGATTGCTGAGCTGTTTCTGAACCAAAAGTGGCCCTCTCTCACTAATGACCAACTGGCCCTCTCTCATTTTCTGTTCTTGTGCATAAACAAGTTTTTTACTTTTCAGGATTGATTTATCTGAATTTCTGAGTTCAAAGCCTCTTGAAATTTGAAACCGTCTTGCTTCAATTACTTCTCTGTATTAGATTGGACTTACTTTTAATGGGTTTGTGTTGGCACTTCAACATTTCTGATTAGCACAAATCTAATGGTCATATAGAAGAGACCAGCACATGAATGATTCCCCAAATTAGAACCTTGTGCCTCACACACACACACACACAAATATAGAAGATTAATAACAACTAAATGATTGAAATTATATACATAATCTTAGAGAGAGGGAAGTACATATTTCTATGAAGTAATTTAATTTAAGCCCAAAAATAAAAGGGGGAAAAGCCAAAAAAAGAAAGAAAGAAAAAGAAACACACAGGTTCTATGTTCATGATTCATATCCCCGTATGCAAAATCTGATGAAACTTTTCCCCAACAAAAAAAAAAGAAGCAACATACACCGTTAGATCTTCCTTCTCACTAATTATCGACCATTAGATCATATCCTAATAACTACCGTTTTCCCCTTGTCTTTTCTTTTGTATCTACACGGGTACAAACGGTGGCACCATCGGAGCCGGCTCGTAGCAAAACGGAGCCGCCGGGTGCTGCCAATTCTTGAACGACACCACCACCTTCTCCGGCTCGGCGTGGCGCTGAGGCGTTTCCTGTGGTGGCTTCAGATCTATCGGCGGTGGCGACGAGACCAACGGCGACAGAAGAGGGATCGCCACGTTCCAATCAACGGCGCGGTTTATCTGTAACGATGACGGTGCCCGCTTCTGCAAACGGCTAGGCTGGTGCTGGTGGCGGTTATTATTTCTCTGATGATCTGCCATCGGCGGCGGCGGTTATGGATTTTCCGGCGAATAAGTGCGAAGAGTGTGTTGTTATTTGTTTGTGTGGAGAGGTTAACGGTGGTAAATGGGGGAGGTTTATATATAAGGGGGTGGTTGTGGTCAAAGTCAAAGTGGGTTCGGCTTCGCTGTCATACAGCTCGGCTTGGCTGTTAGTGTGGCTCACAACGCTTCATGACTCACTAAAAATCCCTACATGTCTTAATATTTAAAAATGGATAAAACTAAACTTATATTGCATAACATAATATATCTCATGTTCTGAAACAAAATCAAGATTAATTTTACAATATGAGTTTCACTTTGATTTTGTTTCACAACATGAGGTACACTATTTTAAGTAACATAAGATAAATTTACCCTTTAAAAATATATATTATGTTTACCAAAAAAAAATCTAAATTACTAAATTAAAATTTAAAATAATTATTTATTTATTTTGAATAATTCATATCAATTCTATAGTTATCTCTTGATGTCTTTAATAATTTTTTTTCTTTGTGCAGAATCTTAAATAATTATTATTTTGAAAATAAGAAGTAATATTTTTTAAGGATTTTAAAAGTATTTAATATTTTTCTTAAAACAAATAATTTTATTTTCATTTTAAATTTTCTAATAAAATGCCTTTTATGATATAAAAATATCACATTCAAATAGTGTTTATTTTATAAAAAAATATCTTTATTTAAGGGTAATATTACAAACTCATTTAACGCAGTTTTATATTAACATAGGTATTATTCGCAATGATAATATTTCAAATCTTATCATAATACAGACTGATAATATTTTCTTTTTGCTATTTGCTATTTTGATTTCAACAAAAACAGATATGGGAAGGAAGCCAAAGCCAAGCCGTTGGTTGCTACAGTATGCAACTATTTGTATTAGCAACAAAGGCAACAAAAGAGATCACAGTCAAAGATTGAATGATAGGCACAACAAAGAATAATAGTAATAATGTCATTATCATAATATTGTAATGGAAGACACAACTGACCTAGAGAGGAAGATAGATAAAAGAGATACACATGATAATGCGTCCTCTGTTTGTTTTATTTTTGACGTTTTTCTATTATCATCACATAATAATCCCACTGGCCTTCGCAAACTGGTCCATCGACCTTTATGTCACATCACACCTAGCAAAACCACTCAACCTTTCCCCAAATTTTAGTAAAATATTATAAAATATAAATCTAACCGGTTAAACCAATTCCTTGCCTAAACTGAAGTTATACAATCTAAGTAAGAAATCTATATCTAACATTTAATGAAAAGCAGTTTGTTTTCCAATACTAAATAAGTGAATAATCAACTAGATTTCAGATTAAAAAACCAAATGGTTTTAAAAGTTTTTTACAATTATTTTCAATTAATTCGTCGAATTTAATATTTCTACAATGAATAGAGATGAATTATCTACATTTACTTTAAAAAATGACGTCGTTTTGGATTGAAAGATTAAAAAATTATAATAATAAAGACTATTATAATTTTAGAATAAATTATAATTACAAAAATACATTAATTTTCGTCCCAAAATAAATTGGATTCAATGCAAATAACTTGTTTGGAATCTGATAAGGACTCATGGGATCACTATCCCAAAAGCTACCTCAAAGAGTGGAAGTGTCCAAGGCTTTATATATCTCACATTAGTTGTCTACACAATCAATGTGGGACTCCTAACATTGTCATCTCTTTAACGCCGACGTCCACGACAGCTTTACTCTGACTCAATGGTAGTCCTTTCCCTCTTTGGGCGGCTTCACTCACCTATCAGGTAGCCCTTTCCTCGGTTCGACTCTCAACGAGAGCACCAAATGATAGGGACTCATAGGATCACCACCCCAAAAGCCAGCTTAAAAGGTTTGAGTGCCCAAGACCTTATAAATTTCACACTATAGTTGCCTACGCAATTAATATGGGACTCCTAACATATTAACGGCAGAAAAACAAATCCTAATTTAATTTAGAGGCAGTTATATTTACTACTGAAAAGTTTTATAATTCTTACTACTAAATTGGTATCGTTGATTTTCGTCAATCTAACGTTATAATTTATAGGGTACACTTATTAATTAATTAATAATTATCAATAAATTATAACCACTAGATTGACGAAAATCAACAGTAATTAATTAAATAGTAAGAGTTGTAAAAAAAAATTAATAATAAATATAATCTCTCCCTTTATTTTAAGGTTAATATTTTCTCATATTATACGAGAAAAGATTTTTACCATGCACAAACATCACATGACCCAACCCATCAAGTTTTTATTTTAAAAAAAATAAGGGATAAAAATTTCGATAGGTGTATAAGAAAAATCTTATGTCACGTGACATAAGAAAAAATTAATCTTTTGTTTTATGTGAATAAAGTTAAAACAGTCATAAACTTATATTATGTGTAAACATAACTCCATTTTAGATTCCAGCTCCTTTTTTTGGGTCTGAATAAAAATAGTATAACCTTCCTTTCATAAAATATATTTTAAAAATCAAATATGTATTCTCTTCTTAAAAAGTACAATGTATGTTTACTGCGTAACCTAATAAAGGTGGTTGTCAGCAAAATTTTAGGCTCAAATTGGTTGAAGTTGAACAAGGCCTGAATTGTTTTAATTTTCTAATAACACATATTTTTCAATTTATGTGACAAAAAATTGGAAGAGTCACCATTTTGTCACGTCTGACAAAAAATTTTATCAAATTGTCACGTTAATAGTAAAAAATTTTAAAATGTCACGCGACATATTTCGCTACACTGTGTAGCGAAATATGTTAGCAAATAATTCGCTACACGGTGTAGCGAAATATGTCATGTCAGGATGCACAGTCAGCAAAAAATGACACGTGTCAAGCAGGAAGAATCCAAGCATAATTCGCTACACAGTGTAACGAATTTCTGTCTGCTTGACACGTGTCATTTTTGCTGACTGTGTAGCCTGACATGACATATTTCGTTACACTATGTAGCGATTTATTTGCAAACATATTTCGCTACACAGTGTAACGAAATATGCCGCGTGTCATTTTAACAAAATTTACTATTGGCGTGGCAGTTTGGTAAAAAAATTTGTCAAGCGTGACAAGATAGTTACTGTTCCCAAAAATTTATATAAATTTATATAAAATAATACATAATTTGAATAAAAAGGAAAAACAATTTGATTTGCTTGTACGGTTTCGTATTTTTTTTATTGTGAATATAGTTCTCATTTAGAATAATAGAAGCTTTCTCCCAAGAGCTTTAGTTTTGTGTGATTGCGAACCCTAAATATTATAAAATATTTTCAATTAGTAAACCGAAACTTATAAGTTATAACTGCTTAAGTCACCCACGTTATACTTACGGGTGTTTGGTACGCGGGATTTTGAATATTTCTGAGAAACTGAATTTTTTTAAATTTTAAATTTTCAGATATTATCGTAAACTGAATACAAAAATTGTATTTTTGAAAATCGAGATTCCCGGACAAATAAAAATTTCTCCTGTACCAAACGCCCCCTTAATGTCATGTAATTTGATTAAATTATTATTACTAAATAAGTCTAGACACATAAGAAAATCTAATTCTTTTTTTTTTATAAACAAGTCGAATTCTTTTTACTAAAATCTAACACATACCTTCGTGTGAATATAATTTTTATTTAAAATAATAAAAATCAGTTTACAAATACCTTTTAAGTCCTAAATATTATAAAATATTATTTAACTGTAAAATGTAACTGCTTGTGTCACTCATATTATATTTATAACTTAAAATATACATATAATATCATCTAGTGCTATCGAATTGTCATCATAACCAATTCTTTTACAAAATTAACTTTTAAACTAATTTTTTTTTCAAGACCTCCAGATCGTTTGTAAGATTTGCATTTTATTTAATAAAAATGAATCAACGATGTAGTATAATTTTCTAAGATTTATATTTTAAGAGAATTATCACAATATGGAACTACATACTTGTATAACATTCTTTAACGTAGGGCAAAATAGTTGTTGTTTAAAATGACATAGAATTGTATTATTTTAAGTAAGAAAAAGATATAAATTAATATTTTTTATTTAAAATTTAAATTAAAAAATTAATCACTTTCTTCTTCATAATTTTTATTGTTTGTGACCTTTTTCACTTAAAATAATACAACTCTATATTCTTTAAAACAACAAACATCGAATTTTTTTAAAAATTTGCTAGATCTTAGAAGCTGTAAAAACCATCGTCTTTGTTTACTTAAAAAAAAACAAAAAAAAAACACCGTCTTTGACTCATAAAGCGATGGCGTCGCTATCACTGTCGCATTCCCCGTCTGGATTTAATCGCAAACCTAACTACGAATCCAACGGTAAAAAATCTCTTTGAATCCCACGGCTCAAGTCTAGGTTACGTGGTCAATTCTAGAACCAGAACCCACAAGGCCCACGTGTCGCCCTCCTATTGCACAACACAAACAAACAAGACGCATTTATATTCAAATAACTTATATATGCTATGACTTTATGTTTGTATAATTCTTATTATTTTATTATAATTGTGTTACGAGTACCACATTGGTTGTCCATACAACTAATATGGAGTTTATAAGGCCTCAGGGCATTCCTAGCTTTTAGGGTGGTGCACCTCAAGGTTTTTATCAAATGGTATGAGCCTTCACACTATGCCTCTCAGTTACAATCGAGCGGCGCGGGTGGTGATGCCGGCATTGTAGTGTTCGCCCGGGTCTAGTATAAGACTAGCACAAAACCAGCCCGTGTGGGCGCCGGGGCTGCGGAGCGTGGTGGAATGTTACGATCCCATTTGCAAGGTATGAGACTTGGAGTCCCACATTGGTTGTATGGATAACTAATTATAAGGTTTTGGGCACTCCCACCCTTTGAGCTAGCTTTTGTGGTAGTGCATCCCAAGATTCTTATCAAATGCCATGACTGGTTTTTGATGGGTAGATTTCGGCATGCTTCGCGAACCGCGTACTCATAAAATTGTGTGCGCTTTCGGAATCCAAGAGCAGCACGGCTTGTCGT